GGGGGGTGCCGGTGATGGTGATGGTGGCGGACGGGAAAGAGAGAGAGAGAAATGAGGGTGGCTTGGTGGTGAGGCGAGACGGCGGACGGTGGCGGCTCCTCCAGCAGCGGCGGCTCACGGCCAAGCAAGGAGGGAGAGGGAGAGGCGAGATTGAGAGAGGAGAGGGAGTGGCCGGTTGAGGTGAAGGTGAAAAATGAGGGAGAGAGAGAGTGAGATGAGAGTGTATAGGCTTGTGGTGAGTGGAGTGGTTGAACAACTTCCCAAAAATTACCATCTTGTCGTCATTTCTATGACTAGGATCAAATCTAACTAAAATATCTAGGGGCAATTTAGTCCTAGGATTATAACAATAATAGAGGCTGATCAAGACTAATCTAAACCCCAAAATTCGGAATTATCACTTAGTGGTCCAGGGGCAAAATAGTAATTTTCCGGTCCCGGGCCAAATTTTCAATTTTCGACTGTACCGATTCCAAATATATTTGGCCACACTTATACAACGTTGTCCTTGCAAAATAGTCGCGTACTTCTACGAAATTCGACTCTGAAGTCCGAACTCAATTCCACAATCGATTTCGCTCAAATACGATTTTAGCGTCTCTCACTGACGGGCAGCTGTTTAGGGGTTACGCGTATCGACTTAGGATTACTCGAGTCGTGACGATCTCGATCTCCCAGAGAACACGAGGATTTATCGCTAGTTCCGAGGGTCGCGATCGTTCGGAATAAGTTCGGGATCGTTCGCCACGCGTACTCTCGGTCGTGCGGAATCACCTGCGATCCGTTCGTACGTCGCTGGCCAAACCAAATCTGTCACTCTCCTTGGACCGGCCCACATTGGCACAAAATATTCCCTCATCGTTTCTCGGAATCGGCCTCAATTCACGGTCGAGTTCTTGGGTCCACGTACCGTTTTCCTAGTTAGCCATCCCCTATTGGTCAGTATCCCTAGAATGATCAGTTCCGGGCGAGACTTACTAAAACGAAATGAGAAATACATATCCATTTTATTGATCACGAAAGTGGGTCGAATTCATGAGGTTATATTTTGATTACCATAATACTTTCTCCCCAGTCGCCAAGGAGGTAAATGTTCATTTCTTTTTATCCATTGCTGCTTTATGCAATTGGCCGCTACACCAGGTCGATGTTCACAATGCCTTTCTTCATGGCGATCTGGACGAGGAAATTTGTATGGATCTTCCATAGGGTTTATGCAGACAGGGGGAGTTTCGAGTATGTCGTCTCTGTAAATCTCTGTATGGACTTAAACAGGCTTCCCGGCAATGGTACCCAAGGTTTACCACCACACTCACAGATGCAGGGTTCAACATTCCAAACATGACTATGCATTATTTACATGGACAAAAGGTGCATCATCAATATATTTATTGATATACGTTGATAATATAATTATTATGGAAAATGATGAATCCGCTGTCAAAAAGTTTAAAGTATATATGCACTCCACTTTCCACATTAAAGATTTGGGACCTCCCAAGTATTTCCTTAGCATTGAGATTGCTCGGTCGAACAAGGGAATCTGCCTCAACCAATAGAAATTTGTTTTGGAAATCATATCAGAAGCAAGGCTGTCAAGATGTAAGCCAACTGTTATTTCGATTGAGCAAAACGCCAAGTTGACGACGTTTGAATATGACGCAGGATCATCATCATCATCATCATCTAATGAAGAACCACTACTTAAAGATCCATCAAGTTATCGGCGACTCGTTGAAAAATTGATTTATCTTACCATGACTAAACCTGATATATGTTATGTAGTGTAGATTCTCAGTCAATTTATGCACAGTCCAAAGTGGTCCCATATGAATGCATCATTGAATGTTGTGAAATATTTGAAGGGATGTCCAAGACTTGGAATACTTTTATCTCACTATTGTGACATGAAAATGACAACTTATTGTGACATAGACTATACTACTTGTCCAATGACCCGAATATCCATTACTGGTTTTTGCATTAAATTAGGAAAGTCATTGATTTCATGGAAAACAAAGAAATAGTCAACCGTTTCTTTGTATTTAGTCGAATTCGAATATTGAGCTATGACAAAGACTGTTTGTGAAATAGTCTGGATATGGAGTTTACTTTCAAACCTTGGCGTATGAGTCGATGGGCCAACCATGTTATTTTGCAACAACGATGATGCACTCAAATTTGCGGCAAACCCAGTCTTTCATGAAAGAACAAAATATATAGAAGTTGACTGTCATTTCACTTGAGATAAAATCCAAGAAAGAATAGTTACAACAAGAGGAATTGCAACCGCTGAACAACCTGTGGACATTTTTACCAAACCACTATGTCAAAAACAACACACATATCTGCTAAGCAAGCTAGGTATCTTTGACATATACAAGCCGCCAGCTTGAGGGGGAGTGTAAGAGATAGGGTTTGATTCTCATCCTGGAATTGATTAAGTAAATCTTGGATTGATGGATTGATTGATCCATAAGATTGGATATTAAGTATGCAAGATAGGAAAATATGGTTTTGTGTATTGTTTCCTACATTGTATTTACTTGTATTGTATATGTATATATAACCTTGTGCACATGTGAGAATCAAATCAAAGATGCAATTTTCAATTCCCCAAAATTTTCATTTCGTGTCAATACCGTTTTGCATTCAAGGAAATTTTGTCATGACATTAACAGCCACGTAGAATTGGAAAAATGGATAGAAGAAAAACAACATTGGATTTTTCTTCCAAATAGTATCATGAGGACACAGAGTTTCTCATTAAGTGGGATGGGCATTGGGACATGTTCTTCGACGAGCATCTCGAGACTGCTAAGAAGGCCATTAGTGAGGAATCATCATCATCATTAGCTTGATTTGTAAGTTTCGTTGTTCTTGCTTAGGAGGCTAGCAAGGATCATCTAGAGGGGGGGTGAATAGGTGATTTTAAACAATTCTTTACCAAATTAAAGCGGAAATAAAAGATCAAGAGCAAAGTTTGAACAACGGTCAAATTTTAAACAGTCTTTGATAGCAATTGGTGACGTCCTGAAATTGCTCGACAGAGCCCAAATGGAAATGTGGAAGATCCGCGCGCCGACCTCAGGGCCGGACGATTGCGCTTCGTGTGCGATCTGTTGCCTGGCGAAGGGCGGGGTGCCGAATCTGTTCGACATGATTCCCGGGGGATCGGTGAAGATAATCCGAGAGCCCCCGATAATGGCAACCGTGAGGTTCACGGCTGGGAGCGTCGAACCGCAGCATCACCACACGTTTGCACACGATCAGGCGGTGCTGAAAAGGCAAGATGAGCGTGTGGAACTTGACCAAGAAGCAGAGGTACGACTTGGTGGCAGGGGATTACTTGTTCACGCCTGGTGGGGATGTGCACATGGTGAAGTATCACGAGGACACGAAATTCCTCGTGAAGTGGTATGGCCACTGCGACATGTTCTTCCATGAGGATCTCAAGACTGCTAAGAAGGCCATTGGCGAGTAAACATCCTCGTCACAACTGTGAGTGTCGTTTCTTGCTAATGCCCACGAAATAAGTGAAGCCGTGGGGTTTGTTCTTGCGTTGTTGTCTGCTTCAAAGCATATGCATGAGTAGAGACACTTTTGCAGCTGATATGTTCCATTGTCGAGTGATGATTTTCTCTGTTATCGGTGTAGATTGAAAGAAACAGAATGTTCTTGTATGAAACAGGCGCACCACATTGGCTTGAAACTCCACATCTACACCACCAAAAATGTGATTATCATCTTGTTTAGGCTACCCACCTGTGTCTTCAGAATCGCAAATCCGTGAGGTTAGCGAGCTCTTAAATGAATGCAAGTTTACCTAACTTAGATGGATTTGCTGGAGTAAGAAAAATTTGTCATGGGAAAATTAGAATCAAAGTTAGGAGGGTTGTGAAGGAGAGAAGGAGATTTATAAGGTTTCGCGGCCATTTGGTATACCTGTGGCTGAATTGGAAGCTTGCTACAGCTTTGAAAGTGTTGCAGCATCGAGATGTTTACCGAATAGCTTATCAAAGTTGCAACATTTGTTTCGGAAAACTGCATTAAACAGTCTACCGTTAGAAAATTTTAGTTGATGTTGGGTGTGTCGTGATACTTTCTAGCTTGTATGTTTGGTGAGACGGTTCTCTAGAAATTGTAATAACCTGCTACAGTTTTGTAAATGTAATGTCAATATTCAACTTGGCAATTAAGTAGATAATTATTTTTTGCTGGTTAGCTGCTATATTACAGAGAAAGTACCAAAGCCTGTTCATACAACGAGGGGGGAGGGCCATTTTAATCATATGCAGTCCTTAGGTGGCACACATAAAAGACAACACTTAGAGAAGACTCTACCATAACATACTTACATAGGTAAAGATGTTAAGTGATTTTTTTCTTTTTTTGCCATCAATGTTAAGCACTTTAAGATATTGATTGACCAAATTATCACATAAAGTTGCATGAGTCATTTAGAATCCGACACATATGTACGGAAATTAGGCTCTAGACAATAATTTTTTTCATTGGTGAAATATCATTATGTGAATATCAATGTTTTTTTTTGTTGTCATAAAAAGATCATCGTTTTTGCTGCAATTGACGGGCAACACCTCATGTTAAAACTTCAAGTTTCCCACGGCGTCAAAGATAAACTTAAACCACACTAGTATTTTCGCGTAACAATTTAGGTTATTTCGTAATAACTAGAGATGGATAAATTCCCATGATTGCATTATATTTAGATTGGAGCACACATTGGCTTCAATTGATTAATCCAAAAAAAAAAAAAGAAACGAAATCAAGGCCGAAGGCAAAAGGAGAGGTCAATTTTCATTTTGGGCCTAGTCACCCGAGCCCAAAGCATCGTGACATTCAAATGGGCCCCGCGTTGACTCTCCATCAGTACGAGGTCAACTTTCTTTGGGCCCATAGGAGTCAGGCCCATTCCGAACATTGCTTCTCGGCCCATTAGATCCGTCTCCGTCATCGAATCTCCGGAAGCTCATCTTCTTCATCGGCGTCTTCATCTTCAACCTCTGGACCAGAAATGGCGGGAATCGCCCGCGTCGCGGGGCCTTCTCCGATCACTCCGCGCTCGACGGTGGTGGCTCTCCAAGCTTCCCGCTTGCCCGGCCGCGTTCTCTTCCAGCTCCGATCTCTCGATCTGCGGAGCTCGCTTTTCTTTCTTCCTTGTTGCCCTGTTTCTCTCTCTGAGCCGTCGACGCTGTTCACTCTCAGAATGCTCGTCGCCGGCGATGCTGTCGCGCTATGAAATCGACCGGCGAGGAAGGAAGCAACGGTGCCGCGCCGAAGTTGATCAAGCTCGCCGTGAGCGGAGTCACGGAGATTCTCAGGGTTTTGTCTCCTGTGAAAGGCGACAGGTGATTCGATACCTCTTCGCCCCTGGAACAATGTCGGGCGATGCGATTCACAGTTGTTCTCGCGATGGAGATGGAGATATGGAGTTTGGACGAGCGACGAATCGTTAGAGAGTTGGTAACGATGCTTCTCGTTTGTCGATCTTGCTCTCTTCTGAATGTGTTTTTGACTTTCTGCAGTTTGGAGAGTGTGAGTGACGACGAGCGAGATGGGGTTCCTGCTTCCAGTGTCGATGATGTCGTGATGATCCTCACGTCTGATTATGAGAAGGCTTACTTTGTCACAGGTACCTCGACTTCCTTTCTTTACTCTGTATGTTTACTGGCAACGAACAAAATGGTCTGATTATGCTCCAAAATCAAACTTGCTTAATTGATGGATTACTGATAATCTGAAGAAAAGAGATTTACAGGAATTGTCTTTAAAAATAAAGAACCCATCATCAATCTAGGCCCGTGCTCATTGTTTCTGGGCACTCTAGGGAACTGATGTTAAAATGTTCTGAGTTTAAGACGGACAATGAAACTCATTCTTGCCGTGCTTCTATGTATACTGACCGCTTTGCTCAAAACAGGAGTATTTTCTTCTGCAATTTACGCTGAAGATTGCATTTTCGAAGATCCAACAATTAGATTCCGGGGTAAGATAATAATCCTGTGCGCTGCAGTTTCTCGTGTTTACATGCCGAATGCTCATACTCTTTGTTGAATTATGTAGTGAATTCACACGTCAGAACTCTTTTTCCTGAGGAATTGGTATGATAGAGCCCTAAAATTTTGGTTCAGTGGTTTACTTCTGGCTGGTTAGGATGATTATTTCCTAGAGTTTCTTACATTGATAGAATACTTTCAACTTGACATTTTCATCCTCTCTTGTATGGGGATGTCATTGGGTATATTCTGCTTGGTGACTTGTCTGGTTTCTAATTTTGGTCTTTGATGTCATGAATTTAGAGCCTCCCTGGTCATATCCCATCCTGTCCAAGCCTGTACTGTTGCTTCTTTCGGTACTTTGTAGAACCTGTCTTGATTGATATGCCTGTTAAAGCAAATCTGATCTGCTAATCTTCTCTGGACGAGTCTATCAATTGTTCCCAAGAAATTATTCAAAGAAGACAAGTGCTCGTGTTTACTAGTCTTGCGGTTTTCTGTTTCTGTAGGCAACATCTTTTCTTCGAAATAAGATGCAAATGAACATGACTAGATTTTGTTTATGTATTTGATGTCCATACAATTCATATCCTTCAAGCTACTTACAACCCAGTTTGGCTTTATCATATCATAGTACATTTTCTGAAGTCTATTATTGCTTGTCCAAAAAACTGGATACAGTTTTTTTTCCATCCTCCATGTGATTAGCCTTCTGAAGGAACTGAGCTGTTATTAATCATTAATATATGTGCATATACACAAAGCACACATCCTCATGAGAAATGAACTAATTCCTCGGTGTTTGGCTGTTCAGGTAAGGGTCTGTATGAGCGCAACTTGAAATTACTTGTTCCTTTCTTTGACCATCCATCAATAATATTACACAGTATACAAAAGGTATTAACTCTTTGTAATTTCAAATCTGGTTCAGTGTTGGACATAACTAGATTATCTTCATCAACCAACCCACTTTCAGGTCGAACTTGGCATTTCTGTTACCATGAGTGCCGATGGTAGAATTGAGGGATGGCGACCGATGATTCTCCCATTAGTCTGATTGGTGCACTTTCTACGGATACCCAGTGCTAGGGATTCCCTTCCTATCTATGGGATCATGCATATGCGCATGTGTGACACCATATTTTTGCATGCAGGCACATACGCAAACTGGAAAAAATTTAACCCATTAATGAGAATATGAACCGTTAATTAAGGAAAAGAAGAGATTGCCAAATTTCATTTTCAGTACAAATGATGATAAAAACAATTCTTTCATAATTCTGTCTCAATGAATTCTAAGGACATGTCATTGCTTGCTAGCATCTGTTTGGAACTTGCAAATGCTCAATGAGGTCAAATCTGTCTTATGACACGTGTGAAATTGTTTTAATTACTGGCTCATATGTGTAATGCTAAAGTAATTAATACTAGATTCTTCAGATTTGTTTCATCATTGTTCTGAACCCTGGTTCTTATTTCCCGCTGATTTACCTGTATCCACAGGGTGATGATGAGACTTACATTTTGGCTAGATGGAAGCTCAGGTACTTTAATTGATCACCGTTTGCATCCTCCACTATTTGCTCTTTCCTCTAGGGGATCGGACCTGGGGATAAATTAGGTGGAGCTAAATCATGGAGATGGATGACTTGCTTGATCGATTGAAATAAATATCTACGACATATTTATTAACATATCATTGTCTATCAATAGAGTGGCTCAAACAATTTCTCAACTTGCAGAACCTACTTAAAACTTCCCTGGAGACCTCTCATTTCAATTGATGGGAAGACTGTTTATGAACTTGACGACAACTTTGCAGTGAGCTTTCTTTTTTTTGGCTGACATCTCATTGTTTGAGTTCATTCTAGTCTGGCAAGAAATCATTCTAATTGGGAGTGTAACCCCTTCTGCAGATAGTTAGACATGCTGAAAGTTGGAATATTTCTGCTCTAGAAGCAATTGGCCAGATTTTTACCCCTAGCTTTGGCAGACCAAGTGATTGAAGGTAAGTTGTGCCTGCAACTCTTGGAAAGGCTTTATGGCCGCTTATGGTTGGAGAAAGAAAGGCTGCCCACTTTATGGAACAGACTCAAAATAGTCCCTCTGGCTATTGTCTCCATATCATACTCTTAAAGACATGGACCTACATTTTTACAGTTGGCCCTGAAGGGAGGTGTTATCAGAGATAATTGTCTAAAGATTTAAGTTCAAAGACCTTGTAGACCTACTTGTAAATTGCTGGGTATGCAAAGGATGTGTCATCTCACTCAGGTGTATATATATTATTCAATATTTTGTCAATTTTGTGTTCTCCGAGTAGTATCATGGTGAAATAGAACTACCACCTTTGTTATTACTCTTTTGGCTTCTCAGAGGAAGTTCTACTATATTTCGGTCATCTGAAGTTATGAACTGCTACGTTGTATTTAATGGGCTTCTTAGTTTAGGCCTAATATATTATTCATGTGTTGTCTAGTGTGAGAAGCAGGGAGAAAGCTGTATTGGTGAAAGACTATATGGCATGGGTAAACTTAAAAAAAGTACCTCGTCCACAAAAAAAAAAAAACCTTAAAAAAAGTACTTATAATCGTGTCCACGGTCTGCGATACCATCATCACATCAAACTTTGCTGCCTGAAAGAGATGTCCAGATTAATCATTGTCTATACAGAAGAAAAGGTGATATGCAAGATGCATTTTTGCTTTCCATGTCGACATTTCTTGCCATTATTGTTTTGAAATACTCCGGAACAAATTAGGTCACATGTTACCTTTTGCATTTTGTCACCAGACCCTACCGAACGACAAGGTATAGGCGATATTCTCATTTTCGGTTTGTACAGGTAATTTCTTTGACGCTTAGCCCAAAGAAAGGAAATTTTCTTTTCACAAATTTGATATTTATAAAGTTCACTGAGAGCACTTGGCCTTCCTAGATAAATCATACGAACGTGCACATCTAGGCTTGGATCTTCGGTACATGCATTCCGACTAGAAAATTCCATTTCTTGTGACGGCAGTTTCTTCCTCTTAAAAAGACATGGAAGCATCAATGAAATCTGGAATCTTTAACATTGTACAAAACTGACAGTACTCTCTCTCTCTCTCTCATTCTTTCTCTAAGTTTGACTTTGACCCCAAATGCAGCTTGAGGTCTAACTGCGCTTAAGTGTACTTGACATATTAATGAAGCGCATGTTGTGGTCTATGACGGCCAAAACCATGAGCGGAGATGGGAATCCCATTCCTTTCGTCTTTTTCAATCCGTGTTCTCCACCAGATCTCAGGATCTCCAACTGCCAGTGTTGCACAGTGATGCATGTACCAGTGAGCCATTGTTTCATGCACCCGATAGCATGTGAGCCTGGTTGAGTGCATACAAACACTCATCCTTTTGACCCCTCTGGTGCAAGCAATTCAAGGGTTCACATGTGCCGACCGCATGTGTGGTGTGCACCAGGGGTTAAACCGGGTAAGGGCGAGCGACTCGGAAGCGCGCGAGCCGTGCCTCTAAACATAGAAAAACGTGCCGGCATGGTGATTTGAATTCAAATGTCTTACAGAAAGTGAGGAATGCTGCTGCTGGACTGGAGCCACCATTGGATGCGAGCAAAGGAGCTTGTTATGATTGTAAAAGAGCACGAGCACGACCCCATGTAATGATGGTTGGGGAGCAATGTGACCGAACTCAAAGTAGAATAATCTTTTTGGTGATGAGGGCTCCTACCTTATGCTCTCTGCTACACAAAGTCCAAGCTTCATAAAACTTAAACAAAAAGAAGCCTGATAAAAAGACAGCACCTGCAATTTTCAATTCACATGATGATGAGGTAGTCCCGTTTAGTTTATTTTGGGAGCATCCAAAGCAGCGATGCGTGCAGCGCGTTCATGATTGTAGAACTTGGCCTTTTCCCGGGCCCCATGTGTGGGTGTGTGGCTCGCTTTTTGGATTTGAATACGATTCTCATCCCGTGGCCCAAGCTTCGGAAGCTCTAAAACGTTCCCTTTCATTGTAGATCTTCACCAATTCATCCTCTTAACCTGCTACTGCACTTGCAAATCAAACTTTAACGAAAAAGGGTCAACTTCGAATTTGATCTGTTCCTCTTTAATTACTCCGTGCGATCCATTCCTCTAAGTTATGTAAAATCCGAGTCTCTTTCGACGTGGGACGTTTACTACATCGTCAAAATCGCCGGCTTCGCACGAAATCGCCGTGGCGATGGCGATCCTTGTCTTTGTTTTGGATAATTCGGATGACGGTTACAAACATCAGCATTCTAGCTGCCACAAGCTCCTGTTCTAAAGTCGGATCTCATTTTAAATGTGCCCTTTATTTCACTAGTAGCTTTCTTACCCCTATCACCTCGACGTCTACATCTCAAATCTTAGTCTCTACAATTGACATTGGACAATAGGATAGCCTCCCCTCTCAGCTAACAGTACTAATTGCAAAGAAAACTTCAGATTAGTTTTCTTCCGAATGTGGCATCTCTTGATCCCAAATCTTGACTACTACAATGGAAGCTAAAGAACCATAGCGACGCAAAGTTACAAGGTGGCGAAAATGCAGGAGGAAGAGATTGTTCTATTCACAAGTTCACAACAGGCTTATCTCACAAAACATTAGCAATATTATTTTCACATAAAATCAATTAATCGCCAAAAGATAAGCAAAAAAACAAGAAACAAGAAATCTCAAGAATCAATTCACTCACTCCTCCAAGCATACACCATCAAAGAGAACCCTCCGGTGCCACTCCCGCTTGACCTCGTGGACGATGAGCAGCAAGAGCTCCTACTGCTCCCGTCGCTGCTGCCGCTCTCCTCCGCCCACTGCAAGACGCTCGAGCACGACGGCGACGCTGGCGAGAACGTCGCCGGCTTCTGCGCCTTGGCGGGATTTACCAGCGAGGATTTGCTCTTCCTCATCAGCTTCTTCTCCGGCCCTACCATCTCCGGCCATATCACTCCGCAATCGCCCACTTGGAAGACAAACACTCCGTACCCGCAGTTCCCGATCTCGCCCGCGGTTATGTTGCCTACCCAATTCAACACGTCCCAGAAGAAGTCGACCTCAGTGGCGCCGATTGTGATTCGCTCGTTCCCTCTGAACTTCCACGCCAGTCTCTTCACCACCAAGCTCGTCTCTCCGTCAACTTTCACTTTCAACACGCCTCCACTGCACTCTATGGTGATCTCGTGCTTCGACCCCGAGAAGTGAGCCGTGCAGGTGTAGACCCGGCTGCCGAACACGTGTTCTCGCCGCGACAGGAGCGTCGCCGGCTCGGCGAGCTGCCGCTCCGAGGCCAGCCCGTGCCGCCGAGCGTGCTCACCGTCAAGGTCGCCGAGGTAGAACTCCAGCTTGCCATTGCATGTGAGGGAGAGGTAGAAGCGCGACTCGGGCTCGGCCGAGCCGCGAGCGAACTCGGTCCGAGTGAAGTCCCAGTGGACCTTGATCTTCACGTGGTTGTGGTTGTGGTGGTGGGGGGTGAGGTGCACGGATTTGGACCCGGGCCGGCTCCTGAAGAGAGAGAAAGCCGGAGGCTGGAGGGAGATGGTGAGGGAGAAGAGGTGGGGCGACGAGTGGATGGTGAGCATGTGGGAGGAGACGGTTCTTGACCAGGTGAGCGTGAGGTGTGTGGGCGAGTTGAGGAGGTGGGTCTGGTATACGGAGGTGATGAGGCTTTGGGGGGACTGGCAGGCGGCGGCGGCCGCGGCGGCGCTCGGATTGCTGAAACATGACTGTATCATCTTGCTAAAATCTTGGCTCCTTCTGCTCTTCACAGCATTTGGGCTAGAGAAAGAGAAGAGACGAGAGGCCAAATCAAGAATCTTTGAGGGTTTTTTCTCTGCTTTCCTCTAGCTTTGGGGGAGATGTTTAGAGAAGAAGGTGGCAAGTTGGCTCTTTTGAGTCTCGAGTTTTATGCTCTTTCTTTTTCTTTTTTCTTGGTGGGCCTTTCTTGGAGGAGGTATCTTTGAGTCTCGAGTTGAATTATGACATTATATAAGGCCACCGTTGGCATCATCATCATGTTATCTTCCCCCGAATATCATGAGTAGATGACTTTTTCATGGGAGCCATTTCTTTTGGTCCTTCTCGCAAACTGTCGTCTTTGAAAGGCGTACTTTCCATTAGAAAATAAAGTGGCTACAGAGACCCGCGTAGTCTCTCGCCTGTGATTTCATATGTATGCCAGCTTATATCTTTGAATCTCTTTTTGGAGACTTGGCATGATTTGGATTGCAGTCGTGTCTATCCATTTAGATTTGTGAATTGTTTTGGCATTTCGCGTATTTTTGTTGGGGAAAGTATGATGTGAGCTTGACATGTGAGCTGTCTGTAATGTGAGAGAGGGAGCGCCACAATGCATGCTTGTCATAATACTGTCAAATTTTGATGTACATTGTCCTAAATTCCACTTTTACTGAGTAAAAGACAGGATGTTTGTCTAGTTATGGGGTACATTTGCATCATTTAACAAAGCAAGGTCATTCTGTAGAAATAAGAAAAAAGAAAAGAAAAAAGTGAAGTCATGGTTACAATTGAGGGTTATTACACAAATAACCCTAAATTGGTACACTTGTGATAAATTTACCCGATATTAATTTTTTGATCACGAAAAATTTCAAACTAGTACACCTATGATAAATTTATCCCAAACTAATTTTTTGACTACCAAAAACCCTAAATTTGAAAACATTTGTGATAATTACTCTCCGTTAGTTTGGATTAATATCACGAAAAACCACAAACCGGTATACTCATGACAAACGGACGGTAAAATCTAAAATTGGTATATCGCGTCATCCTACTCAGCAATTTGACCGTAAAATTTAACAGAAACTAACGGATGGTAAATTTATCACAAATGTATCAGGTTTGGATTTTTTGTTATATTAATCCAAAATGAAAAGAAAAGTGAAGCCATGGTACACCTAGTTACTGTACATGTTCAACCATCCCCCTCATCGCTCATCACTATCATCATCAGTAGGTAAGCGTTACATATGGAGTTTGATATGCCCTCCTTGATTTGCGCCATGAAAGGGCTTCAATCTCTCTCTCTCTCTCTCTCTCTCTCTCTCAAGTGAGCTGGGTTGCACTGAAGCCTCAGAGTCACGGTTGCAGGTGACTTTGAACATCCACGTCCAAGGACTATGAAAGCACACAAGAAAAGGCCAAAGCTCGCTTCTTTCTCTTTATCTTTCTCGTTTTCTTTCTTCCCCCCCTCTTTTTCACCTGTCTCGTCTCTAAAGTATAATGGGCAAATGATGGGGTCTAAGAGGAAAAAGAAAAAGGCCCAACAACTTTCGTGTGGCTTTATCCCATCGCCCTGCGACTCATTCGACAGAAATCAGATCTGAAACCCTATTTTAGCAGTGTTAGGTGGTGACGATGATAAGAAGATTGAATTAATAAGGAAGCGCCAAAATACGACATAGACAACACGATCTCGTGAAGACACAGATCAGGGAGAATTTGGGGCGGGAAAGGCATCTCAGTTCTATCAAACAATCAATGTTTCTGGTATTATATGATCTCAATCATCTATTTTAGTGTTGTATGGGTTCCAATTTAACTTTTTTCTAAACCCGATGATCGCGATTGCTTCTACATTGCCGGAAGGATTTATTAGAGTACTGATATTTGCTCTAGTAGGAAGAAAATGTTGTTAAACATTAAGTGTAGTGGGTACATGTGAGCTCAATACATACGAGTGCCTGGCATAGGCGAGTTCGAATCGGAATGGACTTATCGCATCCGAGAACGAAATGTGTTGGTTGGATACGGGTCTTAGGAAATACATATCTTTATTGCAGGTATCGCAAACTAATTTGATATGTTTATAGTCAAGAGAAAAGAGATTTTAATGTACGACCGTTGTTTTTCACTTCTTTACTATTTGTTCGTGCAACTATACTAAACCAACTGGCAAGCTCAGGAATTGCATGTTACGTTGTCAATTTATATGATGGACGAATTGAAATCTTATAGAATGATTTTGGTTACTTAGGCTATGTTCGTTTTGCGGAAAATGTAATGTTTTGGAAAATGTTTTTCAGGAAGCCATTTTCTAAGAAAAAAACACAATTTTTCGATATTTGGTTGAAATCTGAAAAAAGGCCCATAAAATATTTTCCACCGTTCGATATGAAAAATCAAATCATATTTTTCTCTATGCACTACTTTTAATAAATTTTTTATTTTATTTTTTGAAATCAATTTTTAATTATTTTTTATTTTATTTTTTTCTTTTCCTTTTTTTTAACCTTCTTCTCTGGCCAGTCGCCGGCCACGGCGAAGGCTGGTGATCGGCCATAGGCGAGCTCGAGCATTGCCAGATCGGCGACGCTCAAGGCCTTGCCAAAGGTTGGCGAGCTCACTCGCTGACCTTTGGTGAGGCCTCAAGCATCACCGATCTAGAGAGGCCCGAGCCTCGCCACCCTTTGGCGACGCTCGAGCTCGCCTGTGGCTGGTTGCTGGCCTTCACCGTGGCCAGCGACTGGCCGGACAAGAAGGTAAAAAAGAGAGAAAGAAAATAAAAAATAAATATAAAAATAAAAAAAATATAATAAAAAAAATAACTAAAAAATCGATTTCAAAAAAATAAAAATAAAATAGAAATAAAATAATTTTCTCTTTTGAAAAGAGGAAAACATTTTCCTCACTTTTGAAGATGTGTTTTGTCACTGAGGAAAAATGTTTTCCATGACTAGTTTATTTTTCGGGAAACAAATGCTGGAAAATCCGGAAAACGTTTTCCGTGAATCCAACAAATCCTTAGTCCTGAGTAGTTTCGTGCTTCTGTGTGATGAGCTAATGAGTTTGAAGTGTTGTATGTGAACTTTTGACTGATCACTTGTGCTCATGCGAGTTGCTACTTCGTTTGGAAAGAAGTAAGGACTTTCAGACTTATCAGTAAATAGGCACGAATGAAAACCGTTCTCTTCCTCGGGCCCAATTTCTGGCCAGAAATAAGTTTTTCTATTCCTATACCATAGACAAATTTCTGAGCAGAAAGTAGTATTTGATAACGATACAAAATTTTTGTTCTCAGAATAGAAATTCGTTGTATAGATTATTCTTAAATTTCTGTTCCCGGCGGCAGGCGGGCAGTGGGTGGCAAGCGGCCGGTGGCGAGGGCGAGCGATAAGAAGAGTAGTTGTTCCAAATCTATTTCTGGGCTAAAAATTTATCCGAAAAAAAAAATGAAATTGTATTGTCAAACGGATTTCTTTTTCAAAACCTGCTCTCAGGAACAGAATAAATGAAAAATAGGAAAATAAAATGATTATCATTCGCGCCATTGGGTAATGAGTTTGCCAACCTCAAACTTATGGTCTTGGTTGGGACGGAAGAATTACGGCTCAAAGTACAAAAAGTCTTGATTATTTATTTATTTGCTCTTGCAATCCTCTAGATATTAGTGCGGTTTGCCGGGCTGCTTGCAAATGTTTGAGCATCCACGGGCGCAGGTTTTAGCCGTTTTGGCATCTGCATATGATCAAAAGCAGGGTAAGAAACTCAGAGGCAGCATCATTTAGAGTTAGAAATATTCAGTGAATTACATACACTCAAACGAATATATACCGCTATATCTCGTGCAGTTCGTATAAAATTCAGACGAAACTCATCATCTTTTACAGTGCAAATTCAACTGAGTATATAATACATATACCATTCTCAGGTAAAAATTTCTCTCTTTGGATGAATGCAGATTCTTAAACCCCGTGTTGCGGCACAATGTAGTGCACACATGCTTAGGATTTTTACTGTACTTGCTTAACTTCATTTTCATTTTTAAACATTGAATGATGATTAAATCAACGTATCTCCTCAATCACATGCGATTTGTGAGAGTCCGACAACTTAGATATAGACATAACACTAATCATGTGTGGCGCTAGGCGCAATCTATCACGATAGCAATTGTTAATTAGCTTAGACAAAATGTTTTCCTAGCAACCTTGTCTTGTTGGGAGGACCAATCGAAAATGTTGTCGTATGTTAAAATAGTTTCTATCAAATTATAAAGAGGACGCTGTCAATATGACTTCAGAAATATATAGGTCATTAATGCATCCCGTTAGACCCAAAATGGAGAAATTTTGTATAGATTCAAGCCAATGCAGTTGACCTAGTCATCTAGGGTTTTAAGATGCGTTTCCATGGATACCTGTATAAGGGTCCAAGCATGTCTCTGTCACGCAATCGAGATCACAATAGTTGATCGGGGGCGGGTGTCGCAAGGTGGCCTCGCATCCCTTCAAGCAGTCGTAGAAGCAATAAATAAGTGGCGAATCGCGGTCCCCCTTGGCACAGGAGATAAGGCACTTTGATATGCAATCGGTGGATTTCTTTTCTTCGGAGGACCCAACGAATAGCATCAACATCAGGAACAGAGTTATTACCTTGTTGAAAGAATTAATTTCCATCTCTATCACACTTGTTGACCCTATTTTGTGCTGTTCTTGTAGTGTTCATGTTAATCTTGGAGCAAGCATTATTAGCAATATATATACAGGGATTTTCATGTATATATATATATATATATATATATATATATGTGTGTGTGTGTGTGTGTGTGTGTGTGTGTGTATAAGCATTAATTGTTCGATGGCCTTTTGCTATGAATTGGAAAAAAAAAAAAAAAGGTTCGCCGTGCCATTTAATAAGGTAAGTTTGGAGTAGCTTAGGTTTATTTCTTGAACAACGCTAGCATAACAGTCGCCGTTGCTATTGGAAGTAACGGTGACATGCGGGCCACGAGTTGTAATGAAGAGAAAATGGCAACTATCCGGTTACGGATTGCAGATTTAACTGCTTTCAATTCTTTATGTCAATATTTATTTTGTGGTTTCTTTATTTATATAAAGATTGAGGTTTTTCTAACATAACAGTATTTAGGCTATCGTGAGAATAACAATATGTTGTGAACCACAAATTCTTGAATGAGTGGACCCTAAAAAAATTTATAATTATTTGTCATTTATTTTTTTGTGGCCCAGAACAAGATATTATTCTCACAATGAATTAAAGACAGTCACTTAATCATTTTTCTAAAGACTGTGTCTAAAGTCTCAGCCTTTGTTGGACAATATGTGATAGTTTCATGAATATATTTTATGCATCGAAAGCACTCACGCGACAATGCTATGTGGAGAAGCAAACCAATCATAAATTAGAATTTTCAAAATTAATCTTTTTTTAATCCATATCACGCAAATAAAGCGAATAAATGATTGGTTTGTTTCACCGTGACATCAATTGTGTAAAAAGTGTAAATGATATTTTATGTTAATTTTAATTTAAATGGTATTCCAAAACAATGCAATTTATACACTTAATTTAGAAACATTCATCTACTTTCAAAAATAGTGCAATAAAGCAGTTAGTCTTTTTTTTTTTGATAACCGAGGTGTCCGCGCGGCCGGCGAGCTAGGGCTCAAACCAGCGATGATGCCCGACTAGTCCTCGAGGGGGGCTAGCGCAGCATCCCACCGCCACGACACCCTACTTAAATCACCGATGGGCGAGTTTGAACCCAGGACCTCTCGTAAAAGGAACTGAGCGCAAACCAACGCAGCCACCAATGGGTGGGTACAATAAAGCAGTTACTCGATTGCCACTTTTCTAAATTACTTGTATTATTCGCATTGTTTTGAAATAAACCATTTAATATTTTTTTTTGTCAAAATAACATTTCATTCACCATAGAAATACAAGAGAGAAACAACGAAACAAATCCCAAACAACTTCAAAATAAAACAAGTTTCAGATAACGAGATGAATCATAGTCCAAGATTAGGGGTTACACACTCGTTCTTCAAAAGAAAATCGATGGCCGATCACCGATTCTGTCTTCAGCAATGAGCACACATCGAGATTTGCAATTGTTGCTATGGTTTTGCCTTTTGGTGGTGTGCGCCTAGGTTCAGAGTCTCCAACACCACCGCTGTTTAGAATGACAAAGTTGAACAAGCACAGATCTGACACTTGTGAGAGCGAAACCTTCACGAAGCTCCCTTAATCTCCTTCGAAATTGGACTTATACGCCAACAAGATCCAAGGGACGCAAAACCCCGAAATTATACATGCAAAAAACCCCAAATCTAGACTAGATCGAGGTAGAAACCTCCCGGAAACGGGAGAGAGAAGTTTCTAAATCCGAACTAGATCAAAAGAGAAAGCTCAATAAAACGGGAGAAAAGTAAGAAAAAGCAAACAGAGAACCAAATTAGCCAAAGATAAAGATAAAGGGAGGGGAAGGAGAGATCTAGCTCAAAGCCTCCCCCATATTTGTTGAAGAAAACGGCATATAAACATATTATTTACATATGTTACTCAAATGATGTCACTGTGAAACAAACCAACAACATATTCACATTATTTATATCATATGCACTACAACAAAATTTACTTTTAAATTGAAAATTCTCAATTTATGATGGAGTTGTTTCTCTACATGTCATTGTCATGTAAGTGTTTCCTATACATAAAAATATGTTCGTACAAGTATCGCACATTGTCCTAAACTGATGAGGTATCGTGTCAATCTCAAGAAACCAAGTAAGACACGAGTCGAAGCGCAAATGGGTGCACAAACATGAAAGTATTTGTGTCATGTGCTTAATCTGCGAATAAAAGTATGTTGATTAACCCAGCCATGTCCATGAGTTCTTGCTTTGCAACCTGAAACATTCATTGATGCCATTAAAGAACATTTTATTCCCCATACACTATATGTGGGCTTGGTGCGAGTCACGACTACATGAATTTAAGAGATTATGACATATCTAGCTCTTGAACATTTGGTGAGAGTCACGACACAGATCAGAGCAAATTTGGGGGGAAAGGCAGCGCTGTTAGAGCAACAATATTTGATCCATACCATAATATATGTGTCCTAAATTGGAAAAGCTGTAGGTAACTCTGCAAAATAAATGTTTCTGAACCCAATGATTGCGACTGCTTCTGGAGCACCAAAAGATTTATTAAAGGAGCACCAATCTTTCCTCTAATTCGAAAAACAAATGTTTTTACATGTAAGGGTAGTGGGTGCATGTGTGCTCAATGTGTACGAGTGCTTGGCTTGGGAGAGTTCAATATGGTATGGGCTAACCCCATCCAAGAACGAAATGCGATTGCTGGACAGTGTCTTAGAACTTATATCTTAATTGCAGGTATTGCAAACTAATTTAACGTGCTGTTAGTCAATAAAACAGAGATTATAACGTACGCCGTACGGCTGTTGTTTTTCACTTCTTTGCCCTTTGTTCGTGCGACTATATTAACAAACTGGTAAGCTCAAGTAATTGCATATTAAATTGGAAATTTATATTATGGATGAATTGGACTCTTCACGATTGATTTTGGTTACTTCGTTTGGAAAGAATCGTGGGCTTTTGACATCCTAGTGGAGCTAGAGTGATGCGTTCGCGAGCCATAAATTTAGGGTCACCATTTGCGCTGAACAATTGACAGCTAAATGGGTGCACTTGTAATAACTAAAGAACGTTACAATATACAATTTATTCATCTATATGTTGGTGCACGGAATTTGCAGATAAAAGTGAGGATTTGCTTTCCATGCGATGAAGTGATTGGTGATGTTGGAGAAAAATTAAGAGAAGTTTGGAAAGAGATTGGAGATGCTATATCTCCTAGTTTTTTCCATAATGTTAATGCCAAGTCACGTAACCGCGACATCTCCAAATTAAAATTCATATTTGATCTGAGTTAAGTTAACCGATCATCGGCACTCTGTTGTTCCTCTATCCGAGAGAATTGATATTGACTGATATTGTAATTTGATGGAAGGTTAAATGGTAATTTTAGGATTTATGTCAATGCTACATCTAGTGTAGACAGATACACAACACTTTGATTTCCCTCCTACTTCAAAACACAAAAAGTCTTGATTATTTATTTGTTTGCTCTTGCATTTCCCGCGATGTTAGTGCGGCTTGTAGGACTTCCTGCGATCGTCTGAGCAATTATCCACACAGGCTTTAGCCTTTTTGGCATCTGCATATAATTGAAAGCATGGTAAGAAATTCATGTGCAACTTTACTGTATTACATAATACTTGATTGATCTAGTAATATAAATGTTGGATTTCATTGGACCCATATAAAACCCACTTGAGAACCATCATTTTCAACTATCCAAATTCTATTTAATACATTATAAATATACTATACTCCTGTAAGAACTTCTCATTTGTATGGATGCAGATTCTTTATAACTATGTTCCACATGCTTGGGACTTTGACCGTGCTTGTCCAGCTTGATATTCAGTTTTAAAATTCAGTAACGCTTGTCATAATTATAGTGACTTGACCAATTTCACATGAATTGGAGCTCCAAATGAATACTTAAATGGCGATTATATCGAGGTGAGTTCACTTATAAATCACTTCACAAATCTTGCCCCGTATTGGAAGAGATGAGATCGGGAGAAGGCTCAAGAAATGATTTATAAGGGAGTCTCACCCAAGTGTTCACCACATTAAATATTCCTTTTGGGGCTTAGCCATGCATTTTAAGACCGAATTTATAATAATCCTATAAAAATTATGCATCATCATTTTATAAAAAGACTTTACTCATTGATCAAAGACAGTGCCTGGTGGTATCTATCTATGCTTAATCTCTAGATTAAATCAACTCATCTTACACATCTCATGGGATCAATGGGACACTGACAACTTAAAATTAAACCTAACACAAATCATCTACTGTGCTAGGGTCAATCTTGTTGGGAATCGAGCACCGATTCCAGAAAAATAACTCAAACAAACGATCCTCACTAGCAGAATATAATAATAAAAGAACAGAATCGAAAGAACACACCAGAGAATTTGTTATCGAAGTTCACCCAAACCTGGGCTACATCTCCGCGCAGAGGCACTCTGTGAATCCACTAGACTTCGAAGAAAGTAGGAATACAATTATGATCTTCTCTCAAGATCGGAGCACAAAGAGATTGAGAACACTCACAAAGAAAAAAAACTCACTTTTTTCTTCTCTCTTTTCTTTTCACTCTATTTTTTTTCTCAGCACTTTACTGCTAACTTCTATTAATAGCTGATATATAAAGTGTAGCTTTTAACCTAAAAGCAAAATTAATAGAAAAGACAAAAAAGCCCTCAATAACAATATTTGGCTTCATCCTCCAACAATCTCCCACTTGAAGATAAATACACCCGATGCACCAAGCAACTTTGCATCCATCTACTTCAAAAGCTAGTAACCTGAACTTGTGCCTCTGCGATACTCCTCATCAATTAACATGGAGTAATACCAATGGTAGTAGTACAGAGAATAAGTTTCTCTCTGTCTACTACCTCGGTAAACATATCAGCTGGATTCTTCAAGCCATCAATCTTCTTTAACTTTAACTCATTATCTTTCAATGCTGACCTGATGAAATGATAACGCTTCTTGATATGTCTAGTTCTTGAGTGATA